CTCTTAATGATTACTGAAGGCTTGTAAAATTTCGTGAAGATACACAAAACATATTAGAAGTTTAACAATAATTAAACAAATAGCAAATTTGATAGTATACTACATTTTCTATCCTCTGCAAGTCTAATACTGACCTGGAATTATTGATTAAAGAAACTTTCCACATCAAACAGCACTCTCCAACACTAAACAACGTGCAGTCTTCATTTAAATTATACATTTTTTAATATGCTTGTATTACTGATTTTACTTTTTTGTTGTGTTTTCTTGCTGTATTTTCTCCTCATGATTACTGTTTGTGTTTTATTTGTTTAATTATCATTAAATTTAGCATTTGTACTTCAGCAATATCCAAAGACCTGTATTAGAAGTTATAGTGTGGAATGTTTATATAAAGGTCAATGTGTAATCACAAACTCAGCTGATTTGACTGAGCCCTTACTGAAAGAGTTAACGAGTTGTGTTATTAAAATATGAATATAAAATATTTAGGTTCACACAAAATGATGGCTGCTTACTGTTTTAGGTTACTGGTGAAGTCAAGATCAGGAAATTCTTTTTAGGAGCAATTTGGTATACATAAATATTTTACTGTATGTAGTAGGTCAGCAGCTGCTACTCTACATGTATGATAAATTTTATAGTTTTTCTTAACTTTGCTTTCATTCATAGTTTTAACACTATACATTTTTTTTTCTTTTATCTTAAACAAAAGTTATATACTACAACTGTTGTGCTGTAACACTTTTTAGACTTCTTTGTCAGTGTTTATTGCAAGGTTAATACGCCTCCTGGAAAGTCCTGGAAAACTAACATGCTCCTGTAAAAGTGCTTAAAAGTCCTGAAAAATGTACAAAGGCTCCTGAAAACTGGAATTAATTAACTATTTAAAAAAAAATTTTTTTTGTCTGCTCATTTCACATACAGAGTATATCATAACCATCATAAGTTAACCTTACTATATATATATATATATATATATATATATAATATAGGCCTTGAGAAATATTACAGAATCGAATGCTGTCTGTGTTATTCTCTTTGACGATTCACACATGTACAATGCAATTTTAACAAATGGCAGTTCGTGGGTTTGTTGAAACTTAACAAAGCATTGATTTATCATGCTTAATGCTTGACCAAACATATAAAGCAAATTAGAGCTCTGCCTGGTTGGAAATACACATTTAATGCTTTATGGCTTGATAAACCAGAATGTGCAGATTGGCTTGTACGTGACGATGTAGCCGAACACAATGCTGGTTGCAACATGTGCAAAAAAACCTTCGACATCTCGAATATGGGCGAAACTGCACTGGTGCACTAGTGTCATAGTTTGATTTAACAGTGTGGGATATTTCATCTCTAGCTTTTGCTGACATTTAGACTTTATCTTTCCCTCTTCTCCATGAGCCAGTTCTAGTCTTAACAAACCTATTGGCTAGTAGTTGGATGGAGACTTGATCTTCATGTCTGAATAAATATTTGTTTCTGATTGCACACTAATATTAGCATGATTTTCATGTGATGTCCATGTTTGAAGTTATTCTATGCAAAACATTTATGAACCTGTGTTTTACAGATACTTATAACTGTGTGTTGGGCATCAGTGTACTTGAATACCACACTTTAAGGTCAATCTAAGGTGTAATTAGAAAAGTCGAGTGCTAGTTCAGCTGGTTTATTTTCTAAAGAGAATAAACCGTCTTTACTTAAAAATTTAATTTCAGTCAATAAAATAAATCCATACATAATATAAAGATACATGTAAGTAGCCTTCACAGAATACAATGACATTAATGGGTTGGTTTGGTTTTTATTTGCTTTTAATTTCTATAAGAATCCCAAGAAGTTCTACATTGTATTGTTAGCAGGTGATGTTTTTAGAAAATGTTATCAAAAACCATTAGGATGATGTTATTTTGAGGAATAAAAATTAACTTAAGAATTTGTATTATTTAACAGGAACACTGGAGTCATTGGATAGTTCTATAGAAAAGTATGATGCCCAAATAAAGAGGTTACAAGAAAAAAGACAGAAGGTGTGAAATTTTTATGTATATTCTTTCTTTTGATAACTGTATGTAGACTTGTTTACCAATGTGACAGTTTCATCCTTTCTCAATTTCCAGTTCTAGTTTTTTATCATCAGTCTTATTTCCTGATTTAGCACCATTTTTCTATTGTACTGTTTTCTAAAATATCAAAAGTTCTTAAATGTAAGTCTTGTCAACTAGTTAAGTAACAGTTTTCTTAAGAAGTCTGTTATACTGTTTTCTAAAGTAACACATTCCTTTATTGTCAGTCTTGTTAGCTAGCTGAATACCAGGTTTCTTTTGGTTTTTATGGTGTAAATGCCTTTTACAAACTAGCAAAGTGTTATTATAATTAATTATACTCATCATAAGACATTAATATTAGGCCTGGTACATTTTTAAACACTACATACTTTATCCAGTCTCTCAGGGATTTTCAAGAACTGGATGAGTATATAATAACAGTATTTCAACCATACAATGTTCACCATGTATATTACAAAACTCTTCTCAGTTACTTCAGAAGCTTGACACTCTTTGACAGTTGACATTACCGGTGTTTCTAAAGTATTTTTCTATATAGTGAAAGACTTAAAAACTTGAAATTTCCTTGACAAAAATTCCTGCTAAACCTATGTGCTGAAACTAATATTTGATTAATGGAACTAGTTTTTAGCTTGAACTACTTAAATTTTAACAATACATAGAAGTTGGAGTCATGGTGCATTAATTGATAGTTCATATGTTTAACCAGTTCCAGGGCAATATTCTAGAGTGCAGTTTATCAAGTGACATGATAGGCTCTATCTATGTTAATGAAATTCAGTTGAACAAGTTTATAAGATTCTCTTCTGACTTTAATCAATTTTTATACTTTACCTGGCATGTTTAATAACAGACTACTTCATTTCTGAATATTAACATCAAATCAGAAACAGATTTACTTAACCACTTTATAAACTTACAGATTTATGTTCTACTTTAAATCACTACAATACTTTCAACATATCTTCCATGTGCTACATTACACTTCATACTCATAGTTTTGACAGTGATCTTTTGTTTAAAGCTCATGAATTGAATACAATTTTATTTGAATATGGTTACCACAAGATTGCTTTATCTTGGCTATTATAAATGAAGAACTTGTTTAGATTTAACTCTCTCAACACAGGCTCGGTGAAATTGACCGACCACATGACCTCTTTGTACTTATTTAAAGTCTTTTATAGTTTGGATAATACTAACTTTTAATATAGTACATATATCTTCACAAAATTTGGCAGACTTTCAGTAAACATTATAAGTCTTTCACATATAAAAAATCTTATTTTTTAGTGAAGTATTTTTAATAAACTAAAAAATGATTTGTCCATGAATATATATCCAGTATTTGTTTTACTAGTCCCTGTGCAAAGTGATTTTCATGTTAAGATTAAGAATACTTTTCTTCATCTCAAAAATTTCAAATTTCATTTGCATAATCTCTAAAACCTCCAAAATACATTTCAATTGTTTGTTTTCAGTAAAACTTTATATTTTATCTGTTATTTTCTCTACCCTAACTCTACTAGGTTGGTCAATTTGACCAACCTGATAACCATCAAAATAAAAAATAAAAATTACCTTTATCTTTCCAGAATGACTTCAGATTGTAACATGAAACTACATTCATTTATCCTAAGTAGATTGTAACAGTATACATCTGTTTATACTTAAGTGTCATTGTTTTATCACTTGGGGAACATGGAGCTCACATTACTCTATTGAATAACATTACCCATAAGCTGCTTGCATGTGTGCCTCATGAAACAATTTTATTATATTATTATTAGAGATGCATGGGTAGTAAAGTTTTGCCAAATACTGGGTCCGGGTACCTTCTCAGTAAGTTTCGATCGGTCAGCTGGGACCGAGTTCTCCCCCCCCCCAAAAATACAAAAAAATTTGAAACAAAAACAAAATTGTCATTTAACCAAATAATCGCCAACAGAACATTAAAGTTTTACTTTCACCTTTCAGTTCCTTCCCCCAACTTCTCAAACCCTAACCCCTGTTGTTCTCAAAACCCCCACCTTCCCCAGAAATCCACTTCTTAAGCCATGCCTGTTATTAACCCCTGTTGTTCTCTTGAATCCCTGACTTTCTGTGGGCGGTCAGTTTTTGTTGCTTGAAACACTTTTTTTTTATTATTTGTGGGCAGTCAGTTTTTGTTGCTTGAAACACTTTTTTTTTATATCTAAACTAATTATTGACTGTAACTTTCAGTACTGTGTTAGTTGCCACAAAGATTAGGGCTTAGTTACCTAACTTCAACACTCAGCCAGAGCCGAGTGTTACCAGGTAGCCCAATACCCAGCCAGGGCCAAATATCTGGCCGGGTACCCGTGCATCCCTGATTATTATTATTATTTATTTTACCAAATCTAACCTTAGCTAACCTAAAGAGATCCATATTTTTACATTTTAGTTATTTTCTTAATAATAAATAAAGAATAAACATGAAAAACAAGAAATAAAGTACTTACCCGTGTAATCTTTTTTTTTTTTGCTGTTGACTGCCAATGACACTT